GGGCACCATCTAGTCGTACTGGACTCAGTCTGGTGCAGGCTATGTGGCACCATGAATTTGGACTTCTAGCCTCCTAAACCGTGAAAGAATAAATTTCTCTTTGTTAAAGCCATCCACTTGTGGTATTTCTGTTATAGCAGCATTAGATGACTAAGACACCAACCTTTCAATATCACAAAGCACACAGCTCTGATTCCGAAGGAGAGGCCCTCAGGATCACTGACCCTTGGCGAATGCCACAAGGTGAGCCCGGGCCTGCCCACAGGGGAGTGGGCACGCTACTATGTTTGCATGGGCACCGTGATCTCAGCAGACCTGAGCCATTAAAATGGGCTTACACCAAAAGGGAGGGGCTCTTCCCCAAACAAAAAGGTGTTACATAAATTCGTCTAAAATGGAGTTTGGGATTTTAATTATAATTCAATTAACAAAAATTGGACACATATCCACACTTTGGTGGACCCCCTGCTGGTGCAGTGGTTAAGAGCTCAGCTGCTAACCAAAATGTCGGCAGTTCAAATCTCAAGGCTCCTTGGAAACTCTATGGGGCAGTTCTACTCTATCCTATAGGGTCGCTATGAGTCGGAATTGACTCGACAGCAATGGATTTCATGCACACTTCCAGAAACTCGCCTATAGCCCTTTCCCAACAACTTGATGGTCTGTTTAAAAATTATAAAGTGAATTATATATTTTTTACAGCTTTATTGGGGCATAATTTACATGCCATAAAATTCACCTGCTATAAATGTTGTATACTAGTCAATGAATTTTAGTAAATTTATAAAGTTGTGCAAATATCACATCACCACAATTCAGCTTTAGAACATCTCCATCATTCTCCTGCAATTCCCTGGAGCCCATCTGCAGTCAATCCCTGTTCCCACCCCTGGCCCTAGGTAACTACTGATGTGCCTTCTGTCTATAAATTTGCCTTTTCTGGACAAGGATGCAATGGAATCATAGACGATGGAATCTTTCACACCAGTCTTCTTAGAAAGCGAATTATACTTTTAAAGCTACTAAAGGAGCTGGCTATTTAAAGGAGCCAACAGAGATGTCTTTTCTAGGAACTACTAACCACAGGAATATTTTCACTTCTCATGGGGGAAGGAAACAAGGGGAGGCAGGAAGGAGCAGTCAGAGAAGGAAGCTGACCACGGCTGGCAGGAATCTCACCGCTCTTGGTGCTTTCCGGCTCTGTGGGGCCATAGAAGCAAGCGTGGCCCTGACACTCGGCTGCTTGGCCTTGTTTCTCTGAAACAGACCCCTGACTTTCTGGACAAGTCTTTTGCTTTGTTTTCAAGGTCAGACTGGATTCTTTAAAAGCTAGAGTTTGGCAGACATTCTTTACTAATAAAGCTAAACTATTGTTTGGTTCAGAGAAGACTTCAGGGGATAATTTTGCTTTAAGGTTTAAAGATTATCTCAGGACAATAGTTTCAGGGGTTCATCCAGCCTCCCTGGCTCCACGAGAATTTGAAATTCTGTTCTGCATCGTGCTCTTGTAAAGAACTATCTATATGGGATCAAACTGCTAGTAAACTTAGGGGGCAGTGAGTTTATGTTAACGGGTGGGAACAATTCAGAAAAGGAGGGTGAGAATGGCTGCATAGCTTGAAGAATGTAATCAGTGTCACTGAAATATACATGTAGAAATTGCTGAATTCGTGTATAAGTTTTACTGTGTATATTTTCACCAACAATAAAAAAAAGTTTAAAAACCTTTAAAATATAGAATATAATAGTATCTTAAATATTACACAACTGAAAAAAAATCAGAGTTTGGGACCTGGGTGCTGGTATGTTGCCCACAACTGTCTCACAGTGGCGAGAGCAAAGGAAAGGAGAGAAGACACCTCACCCCCAGACTAGACTATAGATTGATTATATGCTCCTGCAGGTCCCTGTGCTGCTGTTGCCCTTTACCACCATTTGCAATTAAACATCTGTGTGATTACTTAATTAATGGGATCTCCTGCATTAGACCCTCAGCTCCTTGAGGGCAAGAGAACCATATCAATGTCTGTTCCCAGGGTTGTGCTTTGGCACACAGTGGCTGCACCCTAAGTTCTTGTTGACCTAACCAGTTAATTAATCAGCAGCGTCCGATGCTTTGGAAATAAGGACAGACACCCAGAGTGCATAGAAAGATACTTTGCTTAGAAAGATTTTAAAAAGAAAACAAATACAACCTTGAATTTGTGCAACCATTAAAACCTCTACAAATAGCAGAATGGGGTTAAACAAGAGGTCAGAATTGAGGCCATACCCACATTTCCATGGGACCAGATGGCTACAGGTAGTCAGCTCAAGTGCAGGCTGCACTTGGGAGACACAGGTCAGCTGTCCCTTCCTAAAATGAAAACAGCACCTCCCTGAGGTCCCCTGGTGGCTCAGTAGTCAAGAGCTCGGCTGCTAACCAAAAGGTCTAGCATTCTAATCCACCAGGCGCTTCGTGGAAACCCTAAGGGGCAGTCGTACTCTGTCCCATAGGGTCACTATGAGTAGGAATCGACTTGACAGCAATGGGTTTGGTTTTGGTTGGGGTGGAATGTAGGTGCTGGCATTGGGGGACCGTGCCTTCGTGCCCCGCTGGGCTTGCACTACAGCATCATTAGCATTTCCAAACCCCCGGGACCTGGCTTGCACTGGTGTCTGCAGTCCTCTGGGGCTAACTATACCTGGGTCAGTGTTGACTACAGCTCTGCTCTGAATGAGCTGGGAAGGGGAGAAGCCGATCTCCAACAGCCAAGGCCTGAGGTCCACGTAAGCATCCTCGAGTTGCTGGAGCACGTAGAGGAGGAACTCGCACACCTCCTCGCCCTTGCTCTGTGCCAGGTCCAGAAGTTTTCGGACCTGGTGGAAGCACAAGCAAGACATGAACCGGCAATAGGGATATCCTCCTATGAGAAAGGCCTCAGGTGGGCATGCGGCGGGACTCTAAACTCTCACCATAGCCTCTAGCTCAGGCATCCTCTAGCTGGTGTGAGAGCTTACATGGTAGAGGCCTAGGATCTGTGAAATGGACACCTCAGAAATAAATCCACACAGCTCTAAGAAACCAGAAGGCATCCATGAGCCTAAAAACAGAAAGATAAGACCCGCGACTAGAACCAGTGTCCACCCGTGGAATTCTCTCTCTGTCTCCTTTTCCTTCTTTGCCTGACACT